GATCGAGACCATCCTGGCGAACACGGTGAAACCCCGTCTCTGCTAAAAAATACAAAAAAACTAGCCGGGCGAGGTGGCAGGCGCCTGTAGTCCCAGCTACTCGGGAGGCCGAGGCAGGAGAATGGCGTAAACCCGGGAGGCAGAGCTTGCAGTGAGCTGAGATCCGGCCACTGCACTCCAGCCTGGGCGACAGAGCAAGACTCCGTCTCAAAAAAAAAAAAAAAAAAGAAAGATGTAGTTACTCTGAAGTAAAATAGACCACTTAAGGATTTATTATTCTATGTGGAATAATATGTGGAAAATAAATGTGGAAAAAGAAAACCAAAATCACCTGTAACCAAACAATCCAATACAACTAATGTTGTTGTGGTAATGTACATTTTTCTGGTCTCTACTCAGGAGGCTGAGGCTAGAGAATCACTTGAACCTGGGAGGCGGAGGTTGCAGTGAGCTGAGATCGCGCCATTGCACTCCAGCCTGGGCAACAAGAGTGAAGATCTGTCTCAAAAAAAAAAAAAAGAAGAAGAAGAAGAAGAAATAAAGTAAAATAATTAACCCTTACAGGGAAATGGCAATAATCTCACTTAGCCTAAACAAGTGAAAAGTATAACCTGAAGTAGTTTTAGTTAGGATAATGGGTTTCACAAATATACCGGAAGCACCAATGTCAAAAGGACATCCGGAAGGTGGAAGTTCTACCCACGTGTACTCTTGAGTTGCTTCGATGTTGTTAATCTGTTCTTGTGCAGAACTGCTCATTCTTAAAAATATACAAAACATTCTGAGTTGAAAGAAGACAGTCACACAGTGAAATCTCTCTCTCCCTCCTGAGACAACTATCCTCTCTGTTTTGCTGCTATCCTTTCTACACACTGCTATCGTTGGGAAACTTGCACAACAGTATTGTGATTTATAATTCTGCTCTCTCCCATTAGGCTCTGAGTTCTCTGAGAGTAGAGTCTAAACCATAGTCATTTTGTATCTACTGTTTCCTCCACTATGTCTGGAATAATTAGCTGCCCAGACAACTTTTATTAAACTGAACAAAAGAAGCAATGAAGATTTTTAAATGCTACATTTATAAGACACATGGCTATGGAAACCTGAATATTCTTGGAAGCTAATCTTCACGCAGAATGAGTCAATATGTTTCTGTCCTGTTTAAATACAAAATCTTGAGATAGTATATTATTTATGTCCATCATAAAAACTTAACAAATATTGCACAACAAAATAAGCACAATAAATTCGTAACTTCTGGCACATTTCAAAAGAAGTTTCTTTTCTATGAACTCTTTTTGTCCACCTCTTACCATCTCTACCTCCTAGAATCCAGCACAGGCTGTAAACCTCAAACCTGTTATTTTTAGCAGTGAGTTAGCAGAGGGCCTTGACTTCCTCTTAGAATGATGGTATGCAGCTTCTGAGAATATAACAGCAGAGCTAATAATGGTAGAATCATCAGAGTATTTGCTGATTACCATCTTCTGTTATAAAGACTTTAAAAACCCTTCCTTGTCGTAAGGTGGAAAAGAAGCCACATGTCTGCAAAATAGTCCTTATCAGGAGGAATAGGAACACAGCACAATTTCTTTCTGGCCCCTAAACATTTGCAAACTACTGATACAAGACACTCACATGATGTCTCAGATCTTTAGACACCTCCCCCAGGCAGAAAAGAAGGAGCCTCATTTTATTTCCCCTGCTGGCTTTCCTGAGATTTGAGTGGTGGGACTGTGTTGAAACTGGCTGGCTTTTTTTAAGAAACATGTTAATTCAAAACTCTAGGGTAAGGGTAGTTGATCCTGGTAGGCCTGGTCTGTCTAGACAGTTTCTTTTCAGATTAGTTTGACAGAGATAAGATAAGATTTCTCAAAAGCATATTTGCTTTCTATTGAAGAAAAACAAAAAACAAAGGAAACACACCCCCCCACCCTACCCCCACACATGTATGCAGGTGACCAGTGATTAAATTTCCTAATAAAACACCCAATCCCAATTGCCTGTGCTTAAACTAACCTAAACTACTGATGCAGCCATTTTGAGTGAACTTAATAGGAAACATAGCCAAATAGATCTTCTTCCTGGTATTCGAGAAGAAGGAAAATAAAACAATTCAGATATAAGCTTGATCTATGTAACATAGTCACTACGCTTGATTTATGTAACATAGTAACTATATGTCACTGTAAAATAGTGGTTAAGAGTGTGGATACTAGAGTCAGATTGTCTAGGTTTGAACACCGATTCCACCACTGTCTAACTGTGGGATTAAGTTACATAAACTCCCTGGGCCTCTATTTCTGGGTCTGTGTGATGGTACTTACCACTTGTGTGTGTTACAGGCACTAAAGTTATGTCAGGACATATAAATCACGAATATGGTGCTTGACAGCTTCATTATTGATTACTACATGTAGATTATTATAAAGCTAATGAAATTTAGCTTCAGGGGCCCTCATTTGCACAGACTCTCTCCAAGTTCTCAGGAGTGGCTCCAGCAGAGTGTTCATGTGACGGTTAATTTTATGTCAACTTGACTGAACTAAGGGATGCCCAGGTAGCTGGTAAAACACATTATTTTGGGGTGTATCTATGAAAGCATTTCCAGAAGAGAAGGGCATTTGGATCAGTAGGCTAGTAAAGAAGACCACCCTCGCCAATGTGGGTGGGCATTATCCACTATGCTGATGGCCTGAACAGAACAAAACGGCGGAGGAGAAGGGTGAATTTTCCCTTGTTGCTTGAGCTGGGACATTCATCTTCTCCTGCCTTGGATATCAGTGCTCCTGACTCTCAGGCCTTTGGACTTGCACTGGGACTTAACACTATTGGTTTCCCTGGTTCTCAGGCCTTTGGGTCTTGTACTGGAACTACGCCACCTGGTTTCATGGGCCTCCAGCTTGCAGACAGCAGATTGTGGGATTTCTCAGCTTCCATAATTGCACAAGCCAATCCCTCATTATAAATCTCCTTCTATGTACAGTCATGCATTGCTTAATGATGAAGATAAGTTTTGAGAAATGCATCATTAGGCAATTTTATTATTGTGTAAACATCATAGAGTGTACTTACACAAATTTTGATAGTATAGCTTACTACACACCTAAGCTATATGGTATAACCTACTGTCGTAGGCTACAAATCTTTGCAGTATGTTAGTGTACAGAATACTGTAGATAACGCTAACACAATGGTAAATATTTGTGTATTTAAACATATCTAAACAGATAAAAGCTACAGTAAAAATACAATGTTATAATATTATGGAACCACTGTTATATATATGGTGTGTTACTGATCAAAACATCATTTTGCTGTGCACGACTATATATCTATATATATCCTATTGGCTTTGTTTCTCTTGAGAACCCTGACTGATATAGTTCACATATATATTTTTTTGAGTTTTGTGAAAGTAAGTGATTTTAACTACAATCAGTTAAGGCTGCTATCTTTCTCCATGTCAAATTTCACTGTATCATTTTCCCTTGAATTCAGAGGTGCTTGAGTGTCTACCAGCATTTTGGGGATCTAAGGGGAAGTAGAGTTGAGAACATATCATTTAACTAAAATTTAAAAACACATTTTGGATTGTTCCAATAAAACAATGAGAAATTATAAAATCCTAATTTGGATATAAAAGAAAGGTGCTCTGTTTTGTTATCTAAAAGTGCTTTTAATGAAGAACTAAGCGAAAATTTACATAAAAAGTTAATGGGATATGAAATAAAAGTGATAAAAATGCATGACGAGATTTGCTTCTTGTTCAGATACCAAGAAGCAAACTATGTATAATACTTTTTTCCAGATCATTCGAAAACCAGTACTTCCTTAGAAGGAAATGAGAAATTTTTAGAAGTAATGGGTAAACTCTTGGATTGTTTGATATTCTATTAAGAGGAAAGAATCATAAAATCATTTAAAAATATAGAAATTTCTTGCTGATTTGATACAAAATACTGACACTGACAAAGATGACATAAACCTCAAAATATGCTTCTGCAATAAAGAAACAGATGAGAAGCTAAATAATGAGTCTGTCCGTTTTCACTGGTATCCTCGATTTTTTATAGCTCGTATGCAGAAAAAGCTTGGTAAAGATTTTCCCAAATCTGATATCAACCATAAAATATACTATGGTATTAATAATGAATTATAAAACTGAAATAAACATTTAAAACAGCAACAATTTTTTAAAAACAAAAATTGATTAGCCATGTTAGAGGAAAAACTAAATTTTAAAAAATGTTCTCTACAGAAAATTATATTAATATGTTATTATCATATGAAGAAGTGATCAGAGAGCATACAGCCAAAAATATTGGTAAAAAAGTTATATAGCCATATGTCAGGCAGTTTATTAATAAAAAAATATTATGGGATTTTCCAGATTTTGTGTGTTTGTGAATGTAAAAGATGATTTTCCAGATACGGTCATCACAGTATCTCCTATCCCACATGCTCTTGTGATAAGGTGATTGACAGCTCTCATTGAGAGGTGGAATCTATGTTCCTTCTCTTTGAACCTGAGCAGATGTGACTATAGCTGAAAGGACGTTGCAGTTGATACAATAAAGGTCCCTCAAAAATGTCCACATCCTATTCCTCACCACCTGTGAATATGTTATGTAATATAGCAAGATGGAATTAAGGTTGCAAATCTGACCTTTTTTCTTTTCTTTTTTCTTTTTTTTTTTTTTTTTTTTTTGAGACAGGGTCTTTCTCTGTCACCCAGCCTAGAGTGCAGTGGCGTGAACATGGCTCACTGCAACCTTGACTGGGACTCAAGTGATTCTCCCACCTCAGCCTCCGAAGCTGAGACTACAGGCACATGCCACCATGCCTGGCTAATTTTTAAAATTTTTGTGGAGATAACATCTTGCCATGTTGCCCAGGCTGGTCTAGAACCCCTGGGCTCAGGCAATCCTCCCACCTCGGCCTCCCAAAGTGCAGGAATTACAGACATGAGCCACCATGCCCAAACTTTTCTTTTTCTCAAAAATACAGAACACTTCACAAATTTGTCTGCCATCCTTGCATGGGGGCCATGCTAATCTTCTCTGTAACATTCCAATTTTAATATATGTGGTGGCTCGCGCCTGTAATCCCAGCACTTTGAGAGGCTGAAGTGGGCAGATCACCTGAGGTCAGGAATTCAAAACCAACCTGGCCAAGAGGGCAAAACCCCGTCTCTACCAAAAATACAAAAATTAGCAGGGCGTGGTGGTGCACACCTATAATTCCAGCTACTTGGGAGGCTGAGACAGGAGAATCACTTGAACCCAGGAGGCAGACGTTGCAGTGAGCCGAGATCGTGCCACTGCACTCCAGCCTGGGTGACAGAGTAAGACTCCATCTCAAAACAAACAAACAAAAAACCCCCCACACAAAAGCAAACCCAAAAAAACCCCAAAAACAAACAAAAAAAACCAATTTTAATATTTGTGATGCTGAAGCAAGCACCAGCTGACCTTGAGATGGTGAGACTATACTGGACTATTCAGGTGGGCCCAATATAATCACTAAGGTCCTTGTAGTTGGAAGTGGGAGGCAGAAGAGTCAGAGTCAAGAGAGATCTGTAGATGCCATGATGCTGGCTTTAAAGATGGAGGAAGGATCACAAGCCAAGGAATGCAGGTGGCCTGTAGATGCTGGAAAAGGCAAGAAAATGAATACTCTCTAGAGCCTTCAGAAGGACTGCAGCCCTGCTGCCACCTTGCTTTTAACCCAGTGAGGCCCATTTCGAACTTCTGACCTCCAGAACTATAATATGATAAACATTTGTTCTTTTAAATCCCTAAATTTGTGGTAATTTCCTAGACCATCAGTGTGAAACTAATACAGATGCTATTTGACTGCCAAGGCTGGTTCGTAAAAGGAGACACAGTGTTCACCTGATTTTCTTCAGGCCCTGACACCATGCCATGAGGAAACAGAAAGACCACGTGGAGTGGTTACATGTAAGTGTTCCATCCACCAGCCTCAGCTGAGGTCCCAGCCCACAGTCAGCATCACTCCAGACACGTTGAGTGGCAGCAAGATGATACCAGCCGCAGTTACCATCTGATTACAACTTCATAAGAAACCCTGAGCAAGGGCTGCCCAGCTGAGCTCAACCAACGCTCAGACCTCTGGGTGATGATAATAAAATTATTGTTGTTTTGAGTCACTTACTTTTGGGGTGATTCATTGTATAGCAGTAGATAGCTGGAGCAGTGAGTATATAACAACTTTTAAAAATTGACACTTTGTCTTGAATTGTCTCGTTTTAAATAAGTATTCACTTTCATATTTAATTTTGTATTTGTAAATCCTACCTTTTTTCCTACAGAGAGCCCCTCCAAATAGTAAAGCTTCAAACCTACTGCCTTAAATCTGGTTCTACTTCTGCACGTAGCCACAATTTCTTATTCTGAATGTGGTAGAAAACATAAAAATATATGTAATTAAACAGACCTGAGGATCTTTGATATAAAGCAGTCTTTCCTTTCTTCTTCTTTGTATTTTTAGTAGAGACAGGGTTTCACCAGCAGTCTTTATTTTTAAAGTTAAAAAAAAAAAACTTTCACTTTGAAAACACTTTAAAATGTTAACTGAAGCAAATTTTAAGCTTTTTTTTTTTTTTAATACTTTAAGTTCTAGGGTACATGTGCACAATGTAAAGGTTTGTTACATATGTATACACGTGCCATGTTGGTGTGCTGCACCCATTAACTTTTAAGCTTATATCACTTATCCATATCACTTTAAACATCAATTGCCTTTTCATTTGAGATTAAAAAAGAGATCATGATTCTCACAGACAGTAAAACTTATTTTGGAAATACGATGATATAGTCAACAGATGTATCCTAAGTTACTCTTTGCTGACAATGTCAACTTCATATAGCATTGTGATGTCAAGAAAAGACAGGAAATCTGAGTTAGGTCATGGTTCTTGGAACAAACCATGAAGGAAAAATGTGTTATGTAAAGAAGCATGTATAATGTTCCAGAATGTAGCCTAGGCCACTTAAAATATATTTTAAGATGATTTTGAGATGATTAGTTCTGATTTCTGGCATTGCCAAATTCTCAGTTCACTCTCCTCTGCCAGCCTTTTCACATCATGTCCAAGCTACTTCATTTATTTCAATTGATTCTTCCTGTAAAAGAGGGAGCACTGGATAACAAAGTACTGAGTCGGGCTTCAGAGTCCACGGAGCATTGACTTCTCAAGTTCTCAGGTTGCAGAGATAGTTTATACAAGGCTAACTCTCTTGCAGGCTAGTAGAACTGGGAGGGGCTAAACTGGGTGGCTGGAAAAACTGGTCCTCTTGCTCTAGTCATTCAGATGGTATCTACAGTGTGGATAATTTCCACAATTCCAAAGCCAACCCTACATATATAAACACTATGAATGTTTATGAATATGGCCAACCCTTGCACAAACACTCTTCCAAAAAAACAGGGCATGCTTCTAGCATTAACAACAAAAGCAACAAAATATACAGTAAATGGATTGTAAAATGTTGATTTCAAATTTGAGATGATCTTGTTCGTGGGAAAATCAGAAAGGAGAATATATGAGATGCCTCACTGACTTATTCTACTGGTTGCTCGAAGAAAGAGATTAATCATCTGCTATATAAATCATCTCATTCTTCCAGGTTCTGATTTAAAAATGAGCTCTTAGTTGAAAAATCTGCATCACTTTAAGATGGCACCCTATGCTACTATGCTATACCTTCCCTGTTCCTCTTCCTCGGAGAGGCATTCCTGTCTCCATTGAAGGTTCTGTGAAGCAGGACTTATCTAAGCAGGAAGTTTGGGGCTGCAAACCACTTTTTTTTTTTTTTTTGAGATAGGGTTTTGCTCTGTTGCCCAGGCTGGAGTGCAGTGACATCATCATGGCTCACTGTAGACCTCCCAGGCTCAAGCAATCTTCTTGCCTCAGGCTCCCATGTAGTTGGGACTACAGGTGCATGCCACCATGCCCAGATAATTTTTAAAATTTTTTGTAGAGATGAAGTCTTGCTATGTTGCCCAGGCTGGTCCTGAACTCCTGGGCTCAAGTGATCCTCCCACCTCAGCCTCCGAAAGTGCTGGGATTCCAGGTGTGAACCACTGTGCTCAGCCTAATGACAGAAAACAGCCCAGCCAGGGACTCAGCAATAGTGAGTAGACAGGGAGGGGGAGTATGGCCTCATGTCAGCTTTACATATCCTTATCCTCAGGTTCTTTCCTTTCGGGGCTGCTTTCCACCAGACTTCTTTGATGAGGTTAGGGATAATCCCTTCCTTTCCCTTCATGAAGTTACAACATGGTGAAAAATTCCAACAGCCTAGAAATATATAGCTAGTTGCTTTCACAAACATTTGTATTCAGTCATCACATATGAAGCAGACACAATTACCTCTGGCTTTTTGTTTGCCTCAGGTTAGAAAGCTGAGGCTCAAGACCATCAGAATTATTCAAGGTATTCAAGGCACCATCTCTAATGAGTAGGAAAGCTGGGACACAAGGCCAGTTTGATCCAAGGCCAGTGCTTTTGCCCTATACCTCAGACATACCAGGGTATATTCTGGGGCCTTGTTTTATTTACGTATTTTTGTATCCCTGATGCCTAGTAGGGTGCCTGGCACTCAATCTGTATTGATTAACTTTCGATTGAATAAAAAGCTAGGATTTATTGTCAAAAACTGTATCTCTGAGGAGAAAGATGAGATTTGGAAAGTTGTAGCAATTTTGATGCCTTATGAAGTTCAGGGAAGTCTAAGTCATTTAGAGAAGTACTACAGCTGTCCCATGGGAGTGCCCTATTTTCACGGTAGAAGCGTAAGTGTGAGCAGGTTTGCAGGACACTTGTCAGGAGTCAGGGATTCACTAAACGTAGTCATTGTTTCTGTGTGGGCACTCCCTGCTTATTACCCATTCTGTGAGCACCTTTTCGCTTCAGTCTCACATGTCACCGAGGACAATGGGCTGCACATCAGGCCTTCATGGGGTTATTGGTGACAGTATCACTCAACCCCACAGAACCCCTACCATGTACTGTAGAAGATCAAGTATCTTAAATTGTCTGGAAGTTCTTGGGGGCTGCCAGGTTTCTGATTTCCTTATTTTGTACGTATGCAAGATATAGGAAATTTGCCCTCCAGAAAGCTCCGGAAAGGCTAATGGGTAAAGCCTGATTAGCCTAAGGGGAATAATGTCTTTTTTCATAAATAACACTTTCACCTCCAGCAAGGTAAGCCAAGGTGATAAGGACAAATAGAATGAGGATAATTTTTTTTAAAGATATATGAACAACAAAAAATTCTGCAAAGTAAACAGAGAAAACCTACATAATCCCCCAAGCCCATTTCCCAAGAATATCATCATCCTTAAAATGAGGTGTTTAAAAAAGAGGATGCGGTATTAATAACTACTGGATCTATATTTTTAATGACTGCTTTCCTTTAATCTTAAAGAGATAAGTGGACTAAAGTGGATAAAGGGTTCCATCTTGGACAACCTGATCAGTCTTTTCTTCTGTGCTGAGCAGGGCGTGCCAAGAGCAGGAAATTCGGCACCATTTACAAAGCTTTTTTTGTCTTACTCTCAGAGAAAGCCATCACTGTTCACATCATTCAAGAGGCTGTCTGTAAAAGGACACATAAAATACCAGTTATGAAATATATAGTACACATTTAGTATAGCTTCATAACATTTAGTGATCTAAGCAGCAAGATGACTATGTCAAATAAAAGTTATCACTTATTTATGTTTAAAAGATCAAATAAGCATTGGATAAAATTATGTAGCCTAAGCAAAGGGCAATTTCTCAATCTTTTCCTTTTTGTTTTATATAGTCTGTTATTTTTAAATTCTACCACATAAATTTGCATTTCCTCTTTCACATCACTTATAAACTAACGTATGTTCCTTTTTTTACCTTTGCCTTCTTGAAAAAAACATCCCCAGTCTCCTTCATGCTTTGATCACGAACTCTCATTTCCCTGGTGGTGGACAGTTGGTGGAGCTGCTGTCTGTGGGCCCCGATCACTCAGCCTTTTGATGCTCTGTACAATGAGCTGTCATCTCTGTAATTTTAATCTTAGCTCTAGTCTCCAAGTTAGTTTCATGTTCCTATTATGTTTATCAGCATAGATTTCCAGCAAGATGATTATGCCAAGTAAAAGTTATCACTTAATGTTTAAAAGATAAAATAAGCATTGGATAAAATTATGTAGCCTGCAAATCATTTAAAACTAGTGTGCTAATTTTACCTTATTTTCCAAAACGCTCACCAAGCTCACACCTCTCTGAAATAGGTGTTAGCTTTTTGGGCTCCTTTCCCCCAGTTGCTCTGTGCTCCAAACAGATGCCTGTGTTTAGTCCGGGCTAATATGCAAAGGGACCTACTTCAAAAATTCCTTAGCTGCTCTGCAAAGAAGAGCGCTGCCAAAGCTATGCCGTGTGCCTTCCCATATTTCACAAGTAACAAAATAATTCACAGAAAACATACAGAAGAACAGAAAAGAGAAAACTGTTCCCAGTGGCTGATTATGTAGATTAGAACTCAAGAATACGGTATTTACTAATTTAGGAGTGAGAGAGTAAACAAATAAATGTTCCACATCCCCCATTGATATCCATGTGAAAGTGTCTCTGGCCTAAGGCACTTGGTTGGTTTGCTTTTTGTCCCGTTCTGGGAGAAGTGTCGCCTATAACAACAATGCTAATTATAATGAATAATAAATGATAATTTATGGGTTACCAAGGACCAAGCAGCTCTGGGAGTCTTCATTAAAACAACAGCACAACTACAACCTCTGGACGTACGCCGTAATTATTAGATGTTTACGTACCCTCATCAACGTGCTAAGTTTTTATTAAAAACTCCTCCTTCAGTTCCTCCTGATTTTTTTTTAAATTATGGAAAAATTCCAAGACACATGGAAGTAGAACGAACAGTGTAATGAAGCCTCGAGTACCCATCACCCAGCTTCGACCCTCAACTTTTTGCCTATCTTGTTTCACCTGTCTTCTCCACTTTTTTTTCCTCTTGGATTGGAAAATTTTAAAACAAACATCCAAACTTGTAGCATTTATTGAATATTTTAGTAGACGCCCCGACAATGTTATAATAATTTGGTGGGTTATTGCAAAATGGAACGGCAAGACAAAACAAAGAAGGAACGTAGAAAACTCTCCCGTGGCTGAAAGGGCTGTCACAAAGGTTAGCTCTGGAGAAACGCCGCGAGCGTGACATTCCCCTGAGAAGGGCGGACGCAGCCAGGAGAGAAGGCAGTCCCTCAGGGCAGGTAACTGAAAACCTTCCCCGCTGCCCACCCAGGCATGCGCAATTCAGACCCTGGAGTTGCTAAGGCCCCAAGGCAGAGAGAGGCTCAGGATACAGAGAAAGCCAATCAGAGGGCTCCAAGACTGATAAATTAGCCAATCCAGATTCGAGGGTGAATCAGGTCCTCAGCAGTCCCCTCGCCCCACCCGCATCCAATCAGAGAGCCGGCTACTTTGGGCGGACTTTTCAAAACAGCGAAAACAAAACAAATCGGGGACCTTTAAAATGCGTAATGAGACTAGAAACGATCTCCTTCCGCTCCTCAGTCTTCCCCTGTTCCCAAAGCCGAATCAATCCGGGAATAAGCCCGACGCCCAGATTCCGCCCTCCGCCGTGGCGCCGGGCGGGAGGACTGGCTTGGCGAAGCCAAGGAGAGCTAGGGAGGCAGCGAGAGAGGCTGGAGACAGCGGCTTAGGGGCGGGACTCTTTTTAAAGTCCGTGAAGGAAGTGCAGGATCCCTCCGCGGGGAGTCACGTGCCCCGCCCCCTTGGGGGCGTCGAAACTCACAACAAAAACAGGAGGCTCACTGAGGCCTCTATTGAGGCGGCGGAGGTGCGGCGGCAGGCTGGTCTCCGGCGGCCGTCGTTGCGCCCGGGTGGAGGGTGGGCGCGTGGGGAGCGGGATGGAGCCGGGGCTGTGAGGCCGAGGCGGCGGTGCCTGGGAAGAAGGGTCGGATGCCGGGCCGGGGGCACCGCTGAGGCAGTGGGGTCCCCGACCTGCGAGACAGGTTCGGAAGTCCCCGCTGCACCCAGTCCCTGCGGACCGTGAGACCGCGGGCGGGTGGAGGCGCGTCTCCGGCACGGTGAGTGGGCCCGGCCAGGGGCGCCGTGGGTTTCTTTGTTCGTGGTGGGGACTGTGGGCTGCGGGGAGGTTGGTATCATCCGAGTGTCTCGGTGCTGCCTGCCCCTCATCCGCTGGAGCGACCAGGGTGCTGCCCTCAGCCCCAGCCCTGGGGGGAGCTGGCGCCCGCGACGGACAGATAGATGCTGGTGGGGTGGACGGAGGGGGCGACTAGGCTAAGGGCAGTCTCCGCCTCGGTGCCCCCCGCCCCCACTCGTGTTGTCACGGGGGCTCGCTGGGGTGGTGCTTCTTGGATTGACAGCCCCGGGGCTCTGCAGAGTTGCAGGGCCCCAGCATCAGTGAGAGGATGGGTGTTGTCCGGTCGGGCGCGGGGCGGGCTAGACTGGACTGGATTTCTGTCCCCGGACCGCAGCCGGGTGTGCCGCGCCACCCCACGGCTCCTGGGACACGGGTGTCCGCCTCTCGGGTAAGTCCGGAATCGGTGCTGCAGCAGCGGATGGGAAAAGCTGGGGGCTGGACTCTCCGAGAGGGGCTTCTGCAGCTGGGCGCCCCGGGCGGGCGGGGCTCGGGAGTCTCCTCCCTCCGCTTCTTTGTTCAGTCGCGAGACTTTCCCTCCCCTCCCCCCTATTGTGCAACGCCCCATCCCCGGGACCCGCTGCAGTCGCTGGCCTCACTGCAGTCCCCTGGGCAGAAGGCCCTCCCCGGTGCGACTTCAGGTGGGGCAGACCGAGGGGACGCCGGCGCCCGCGGACAGTTTCCTGTTTGTGAAACGCCGAGAGGCCAGGGCTGGCAGGTCTTACCCAGCGCTGGCCGGCGGACCTGACCACGGCTCCTCCCCCTGCCACACCTCCCTGGCCGTGGTGGGGATTGCCCCAGGGCTCTGGAGGACGTGACTGGTCCCTCCCCCCGCTCCTTGTCCGGGTGTGTGGAGGCGATCCTTGCTGGAGGTACTGGCCTCAGCCCTTTCTATCCCGCTTCCCCACCCCTCTTACCTCCAGATTACATTCTCTGTGTGGTGTCTTTGCTGCAGATGAAGGATTTGGGGGCAGAGCACTTGGCAGGTCGTGAAGGGGTCCAACTCCTCGGATTGTTGAACCTCTACCTAGAACAAGAAGAGAGATTCCAACCTCGAGAAAAAGGGCTGAGTTTGATTGAGGCTACCCCGGAGGTAAGTTGGCAGAAAAGATAACTTGCTCAAGCAGCTGATGGGGCTTGGAGGCGGTAACAACCCCCCCTCCCCGTTGAATCATGACTGAAGCCTGCAAAATTTCTTAATATCGAAGTTGTTCCTTCTGGAGTACCAAGATAAACCTTATTCCAGGGTCATGCTTTTGCTTTTCTTAGCAAGAATGAGAGTGATATTTTAGAGAAGTGGGTTTTTTTTTTGTTTTTGTTTTGAATGTGGCACCCTCCTCGCCGCCTCCCCCCCCCCCCCCCCGCCCCCCGCACTCCAGCTCCTGCAGCTTCAGGATGAGAGACTCCTGGTGAATTGAGCAGTTCATTTGTGCAAACACCCTCTGCCTGTGAAATACATATTTATAGTAGGATCTTAAATGACTTTAGAAAAGCAAACAAAGGAACCCTCTCTCTCCATTTCAAGGGAATTGAATTATATTTGCTATAACTCCCTGAAATCTTGGAACGGTTCACCTTATATTGAATTGCTGAAGCTCTTTTATGATGTATATTTTTAAGAAGCAGTGATTTATGTCTTATAGATGAGAAAGTGTATAGCTTTACTTAAGTGATACCACTCTTTCCATCTATATGCTTGAAGATTGAGGGGAAAAAATTAACCTTATTCTTGGGAAAAAAAATAACCTTATTCTTTGGATCTATATGTGTTTTTCATCTGGTTCTAAGAAAATTGTAAACCTTGGTTCTTGGTTTTTATTGCAGAATGATAACACTTTGTGTCCAGGATTGAGAAATGCCAAAGTTGAAGATTTAAGGAGTTTAGCCAACTTTTTTGGATCTTGCACTGAAACTTTTGTCCTGGCCGTCAATATTTTGGACAGATTCTTGGCTCTTATGAAGGTATTTCATCATTTTTATAAATATGTCTTCTGTTTTCTATGCCCAGTGCCTAGCACACAGGGTTCAAGAAATATTTATCGAATGGGTATAATAATGTCCACTGTACATAAAAATTTATAATCAGAATTGTGATCGTTAGTGCCAGAATAAGACTAAAGATTAATTGTATTGTTGTATGTTAGGTTTTTCTGTTGTGTCTTAGGTTTTACCTCTTAAGTACTGTCTCTCGAAGATGTGACAAAAGAGAGACTACTATTTTTTAGATATTTGCCATATGTTTATAGTCCTCAAAATAAGATTTTATCTGCCATCATGCTTCTCTTGAAGCCTAGATTTTTAAAATACTGAAGCGTGACAAATGAAGCATAACAGTCTATTAAATATGACCGGCCGCCTTCCCTAGAAGTCTCTTCAAAGCAGGGAGCCATGGTTTTGTTAACAGTCACCAGCAATGGCTAGAAAAATGTGGGGAATCTTCTGCCAGTAGGATTGCTGTCAGCTGCTGGGTCAGTTCTCAGGGCATTGAAAAGAAAAGGGCAGCCATCTGTCCATGGCAGCTTTTATATATGTCCCACTCTCCGCCACTCATGTGATCTTTCTCGAGCAAAATTACATTGAAATATGGAATGATTCTTAAAGATTTTTACGTAAGAACATAAGTATAAAATATTTTAATATCCCAGTACATTTTTTTTTTTGGTGTTAAAAAGCTTAATTTATTTTGGGGGAGATTGTATTATGAATTTCATAAGTCTGAAATACAAATTATACTTTAGTGCTAGAAATCTAGCTTTTGAACCTGCATGGAAGTTCTTGTACCTGCATTTGAATTTACATAATTTAAAGGTTCAAAAAACTTTTTTTTCTAAATTAAAAATTTTTTTTTTTTTTTTTTTTAAGTAGAAGTGGAGGCTTGTTGTGTTGACCAGAATAGTCTTGCTATGTTGGCCAGAGTGTTCTCAAACTCCTGGCCTCAAGCAGTCCTCCCACTTCAGCCTCCCAAAGTCCTAGGATTACAGGCATGAGCCACTGCTCCCTGCTGCCTTTTTTTTTTTTTTTTTTCTTTTTAAGGGAGGTTGAGAAGATCTAAAATGTGACAATGTGTATAACTGTGGGTAAAGGGCCAGTACATATAAGAGAAGCAGCTTGATTATGTTCTGTCTTAAGAATAGGAGCATCATTACAGTATTATAAGCATTTGCTTTACTAAGTCAAAGTGACAGTTGTTGAAAGAAGCCTCTTGTTTTTTTCTCAGGTGAAACCTAAACATTTGTCTTGCATTGGAGTCTGTTCTTTTTTGCTGGCTGCTAGAATAGTTGAAGAAGACTGCAATATTCCATCCACTCATGATGTGATCCGGATTAGTCAATGTAAATGTACTGCTTCTGACATAAAACGGATGGAAAAAATAATTTCAGAAAAATTGCACTATGAATTGGAAGCTACTACTGCCTTAAACTTTTTGCACTTATACCATACTATTATACTTTGTCATACTTCAGAAAGGTCAGTGGGATTAAAGATAAATTTTATACTTTGAGCATTGCTGTAGCTAACAGTAAATAATTGGAATGGCAATGAAATTTGTATTTTTACCTTCTTCAAACTTTCGACTTGGACTTTATTGGCAAATCTTTTTTTTTTTTTTTTTTTTTTTTGAGATGGAGTTGCGCTCTGGTTGCCCAGTCCGGAGTGCAATGGCGTGATCTCGGCTAACTGCAACCTCCACCTCCCGGGTTCAAGTGATTCTCCTGTGTCAGCCTCCCGAGTAGCTGGGATTACAGGCGTGTGCCACCACACCCTGCTAATTTTGTATTTTCAGTAGAGACGGGGTTTATCTATGTTGGTCAGGCTGGTCTCGAACTCCTGACCTTAAGTGATCCACCCACTTCGGCCTTCCAAAGTGCTGGGATTACAGGCTTGAGCCACCGCGTCTGGCCCTGGCAAATCTTTAAAATCGTTTAAAATCATTTAAATCTTTGGGAGTTTAATAAATCTTTGTTCTTTGCATTTATAGGAAAGAAATACTGAGCCTTGATAAACTAGAAGCTCAGCTGAAAGCTTGCAACTGCCGACTCATCTTTTCAAAAGCAAAAGTAAGTCGATTCCTTGCTTACATATATATCTCACAGTTTCTATTTTGAATTTAAAAAAAATATTTTCCTTTTTTTTTTTCTTACAGCCATCTGTATTAGCCTTGTGCCTTCTCAATTTGGAAGTAGAAACTTTGAAATCTGTTGAATTACTGGAAATTCTCTTGCTAGTTAAAAAACATTCCAAGGTAATCACAGTCATTATTCTTTAAAGCAAATTTCTTTCCTGATGTTTCATTTTTTTCTGTAGTGACTTAAACTTGAATACTTCATGGGACTCTTAACTTTTACACTCGTTTTTTTCTTATATCTGTAGTGTTAAAGTTCTCAAAATGCAGCTTTGACCCAGACAATACTAATCCGGAAGGTAACTTGGTCACTTAGCCCAGCTTCTTTCTGCATATAAGTGCCCCTTCTGTAGTAATCATGCCATATGACAGTACAGCTGTTACATTGCCACGTATGCATTGTTCTAAAATGCATTCTAGGAAGTAGACTCAGAACAAACACTAATGGGATAGGATGGGATCACATCACACCTCTAGGGCTGAACTGTCATCCCATTAGCAGCAGCATCAAATAACACCAGCAATGTTGATGTTTTAAACCCCAATGTCTTTTCAAATCCTTTAGGCCAGCTAAGTAAAAGTAAGTCTTACAGTCACAAAGAAGTATAAAACAAAAGCACAGTCCTTTTTCTTAAACTCTCAGTCTAGTTGGAGAAATAAGGAAGTTAACATGAAGTGTTGTGTTCTGTCATCTGTTATTGTGTCTTGGTGCCAGGTAATAGTGAATATAGAGAGTACCTGGGGATTTTTTGAGACAGAGTCTTGCTCTGTTGCCCAAGCTGGAGTGCAGTGGCACGATCTCGGCTCACCGCAACCTCAGCCTCTCTGGTTCAAGTGATTCTCCTGTGTCAGCCTCCCGAGTGCCTGGGACTACAGGTGCTCACCACCATGCCTGGCTAGTTTTTATATTTTTGGTAGAGATGGGGTTTCGCCATGTTGGCCAGGCTGGTCTTAAACTCCTGACCTCAAGTGATCCCACCTTCCTTGGCCTCCCAAAGTGCTGGGATTACAGGCATGAGCCTCTGTGCCCGGCTTACTTTGGGGTTTTTTTAAGCAAAGAAATAGGGCAGACTAGGAGAAGCATTATGACTGGGAGCCTATTTGGAGCAAAAGAATCTTTGACAGTGAAAGTTTGGACAGCAAAGGCTTATGGCCAAGAAATTGGTGGACTAGACAGATTTAAAAGTCATTTTAGGGTAGACTTGCAGGTACAATGTCTAGGTGTTAGTCACAAGCAGGAGTAAGGCTGTCCAACTCATAAAACAGTGGTTTTGGAAGCCAAGCATGGAAATGAGGCAAGGAATCATGAATGGCCAAGATTTGTACCTAATGGTGGATGTAATATTAGCATAATTGGCAGGAAATTTGGAAGAAGTTAATTTGTGATGAGAGAAGTATGATTTTAGATGCGTGTATACACAGGTAGGTGTCTAGTAGGTGTTTGGCATTTTGGAATAAGAAGATAAACTGTAGCTGGAGATTGAGATTTGGAATTTCTCATGAAGAAGCAATAGTTGAAACCATTAAAAGCTTGTGGAATCATTTTTGTAGGGTTCAGTTGAAGCTCTGGGGTTTTTAGTGTTGGCTTTTACCCCCAACATTAGGAGCCAAGTGAAGAAAGGTACATCCCCACAAGTAGGAGCACTGTCGGACAGGAAGGAGGTTTTTAAGAAGGAGGTGGTCAAGAGTATTGAATTTTTATAAGAGATCCAATATAATGAAAATTGAAGGTCATTGAATGTGTCAGAGGTAATGTCAGTAGAGCAGTGAGAAGGAAATGGTAGAAACCAGATTATAAGTGGGTTAAGATGTAGCTAGATTAGGTGAAAATGGGAGGCCAAGAAAATAGATAGATCTTCTGTTTTCTGGTGAAAATATGTGCAATGTGAAGCATTTTGTTTGTAACAGATAACTTTTCGCTTTTGTTTTAATCATGATTTTATTAGTTTTTATCTGAACTTTTTATTGATATTGATAGCTGGAACCATCTTCAGTGAAAATTGATTCATTGAGATAAACTGAAGACGTTCCAAAGGAGGAAGGAAAAACATAAAAAGAAAAAAAAGAAATAAACTGGAGCACTCCCCAGTGGTGGCGGAACTATGTCCTTTTTGGGAAATTTCTCTTCTCTCATATTGCTAATTTCTTTAGTTTTGTATCTGTTGTTATAATGTAAGTGTATGTTGCCAGCAATCCAAACAATGCCTTGTTACAGGAACCCAAATTGGTTTCTGTAACAAAAGGAATGTTGAATTTCTTTGCATTGAGACTAAGGACTATACTTGATAGTTGATTTATTAACAGACCCAGAGTGTTTTTAGGTCAGCGTTTTCTTAGAATAGGCAAAGCTTTACTTAGAGTGCTCCTCTCCTAAACCAGTGGTTCCCAAATTTTGACAGTTTGGCTGCACATTACAGGCACCTAGGGAACTTACAAAACTCTTGATGCTCATGTTACACTCCTTGTCAATTAAATCAGAATACCAGAGGTGGAAGAGGGTAGTGGGAGCCAGGCATCTATATATATATATGTTTTTTTTTTTCATAGCTTACCTAGTGATTCCAAGGTGTTGCAAGATTTGGGAGACATTGCCATAACCTCTTAAAATATTTTTTTTTTCCAGATTAATGACGCCGAGTTCTTTTACTGGAGAGAGTTAGTTTCTAAATGCCTAGCTGAGTATTCTTCTCCTGAATGTTGCAAACCAGATCTTAAGAAGTTGGTTTGGATTGTTTCAAGGCGCACAGCCCAGAACCTCCACAACAGCTACTATAGTGTTCCTGAGCTGCCAACGATACCTGAGGGGGGTTGTTTTGATGAAAGTGAAAGGTAGGCGGGTTCCTTGACTAATTAAACTTCCCTAGACTAAATATTACTGAGTTTATTATACTCAGAACTGTGGAATAGTGTAAGACATTAGAGAAAGCAAGCCCCTACACTAAGAGCTAAGAATTAAAACCCCAACTCTTCAGGTAAGCAAATTAACCAGAAGTAGTTTTGTTAAAATACGTAACGATTTATAAGGTCTTCTCCATTTTTTTTTAGTTTTTTCTTTTTTATATTTTTTTGAGTAGAGATGGGGTCTCGCAATGTTGCCCGGGGCTGGTCTTACACACTCCTAGGCTCAAGTGATGCTCCTGCCTCAGCCTCCCAAAGTGCTGAGATTACAGGTGTGAACCACTGCACTCAGCCTTTTTTCCCTTTTTAAACTGGTTGTTTTCCATCTTTCTCCTATTTCCCTTGCTTTTGAAATACAGCTAAAAAAAACCCCAAAAAAACAAACTGGAAAAGAATTCTGGGCTTTGTCATGTTAGTATGAATTCCTAATATTGTGCTGTGGAGAAGAGATTAATGGGTAGGTGCCTGGAAAATAAAGGGAATCACCACCACTAATGGGGAAGACTTCTATAGATGTCCTCAGAGGTTTGTCAGTTGGTGTCGTCTTATTCAGTATTTGATTATTGTGTTTGTAAAGTGAATAATTTTGCTAAATTTGTTTGTTTTATGCTGTAGAGATAAAGGGCCAGAAGTTTCATTTTCATAGCTTGTTAGTTTACTTTGATATTTGAGAGTGTTAAGTGGTATAAGAAATCACGGATGCAAGAAATACATCTAAATAGACCATGTGCTAGGAGGTATGTTGTCTTTAGTCTTCATTATTGGATTTAAAATACTTAGAATTCTACAATTAGTTGCTGATAGAGTTATTAATTGGTACAAGAATAATAGTTTGGCAAATAGTAACTTGTTTAAACTTAAGAAAACCTATATTTTCTTTCTTTTCTTTTTTTTTTTTTTGCGTGTGCCACCATGCCTGGCTAATTTTTGTATTAATATTTTTTGTAGAGATGGGGTTTTGCCATGTTGCCCAGGCTGGTCTGGAACTCCTGGGATTAAGCGATCTGCACACTTTGGCCTCCCAAAGTGCTGGGATGACAGGGATAAGCCACTGCACTCAGCCAAAAAAAATCTGTATTTTCCATTGAGATTACTATAGACTTCATTTAGGAAGTCTTTATAAATTTTGTCTCTGTAAAGCATACATTTTGAATATAAAAATCCTCACTAGAGATACTCATATAGCAGCTTTATTTTGGCTATAAAGCATTTAAGTGTGTTTTAAGTAATGGTATCCTCTTTTTTGTCTCTTTTTCTCTTTAGTGAGGACTCTTGTGAAGATATGAGTTGTGGAGAGGAGAGTCTCAGCAGCTCTCCTCCCAGTGATCAAGAGTGCACCTTCTTTTTCAACTTCAAAGTGGCACAAACACTGTGCTTTCCATCTTAGAAATCTGATTATTCTGTCAGAATTTATATGTACAGGTTTCAAAGCAATAAATGGGGGAATAGGTAGTTTTCTGGTTTAGCCCCCATCTAGTCAGGAATTACATATACTGGAATACCTACCTTCTATTTGTTATTCAGATCAGATCTGGCCTATTTTCTTATTTATCCTAAGCCATCAAATGAGGTAGTGCCTCTTAAACCATTAACAGTATACTTTAGACATTGGCACTTTATTTTTCTTGTTGATCTTTAGCTACTTTGGGGAGGAGGGAAGGTGCTGATACCTTCAATTTGTTACTTTTCAAGATTTTTAAAAATAACTAGTGTAGCTTATCTTAAACATTTTATAAAACCTTCAGATGTCTTTATTTAAGCAGATTGGAAGTATGCAAGTGCTTCCTTAGCAGGGACAGTGGATAATACTTAAATGGTTTATCATAGATTGCCCCCTCCCCCCTTCTCAGAAGAGTGAATATGCTCTTAAATGTCAAACACATTTTTGTTTTGTTTTTTAAATGATCAGTGTCTATTTGATGTGATTGCAGATCTGCAGAAATAATTAGGCTAGGGCTCTTAGTTTCATTCCTATTGCCCAAGTATTGTCAAACTATGGTATTATTTTAATGTTACTTTAAAAATCCATAATCTGCTAGTTTTGCATGTACTTGTATGAAAACAGTGCAGTAAGTTGAAAACCCAGTATCTATGGAATTGATAAATGTTGATCTGGTGGTACATTTTATCTCATTTTCTTATATTAAAAATGTCTGCATGATTACGTTTTATTTCCTTTGTAATTTACATTTCAAAATGATGTATTGCTATATGGGTGCCAAGATTGAGTATGAATAACCCGAGTGTTTGTAGTATTAGAGTTTTAAGCAAATCTGTGTGGTGATACAGCCATAAGAATGGGGCTTATATAAACTCTGTACATGTATGATTTTGTACAGAGAATTTTTAACTTTATAAATTGTATATGAACATGTAAATCTTTTAAAATGTACATAAAATACTGTATTTTTTTACCTTGTGTGTGATAGTCTAGTCATTGCATGTAAATATAATTTATTATGTATTCTGTAGTATAAATCATACGTTGATGACTTACATTTTTACTGGTAAGTCAACATCCATTGGATGTTTTCTGAAGTGGCTCTTTTTGAAGTGATAATAGATTGTAATTCAAAATAAAATTATTACTGAATTCTCCTTGTTTGGGATCACATCTTAATTTTTAATCTGTTAAAAGTGTTTGATGTATTTTAATGAGAAGACTTTAGGTGAGGCTACAGTGATTCCAGAGTGAGCCTTCTAACTGGCTAGCAGAAGTTCTCTAGGTTTGACACTATGCCTTGGAGATACTGAAAGAGAATCTGTCATTTGAGAATTGACCTCTTTCTGGGATGGACTTATTAAGTATGCTCTCAGAGACTGGTGTATTACCAGAATGCCTATTAATTTACAGTGACAGGCAACAGGTATTAAGTAGACCAGAAAGCTCAGGTTGGCAGATTAGAACGATCTTTCAGGAGACAAATCAAGTTTTAATCAGTTTGGTTAGTAAGTATGGGGTGTTGGCTGTGATGGGGCCCCACCACCTTCTGGCTCTTGTGGACCTCAAAAGTATCAGGTTGTTTTGCAAGTGGTGTTCCTTCCCTGCCCCCTCCCCCCAACAGGTTCCCCATCTGTCTAGTTTGATTTTTGTAGACCTTTGTTTTCTCTAGTTAGTTAGAAAGTCAGGTATACTCAATATGGTTTTCATGTAACACCTCTTCTCTGGAGATAGGGGTATGTTTTCCTACCCTCCTAGGGGAGAATCTCTACTTGAGGACGACCTTTCCTGTCTTACTAAATAATATTAGTAAATAGTAGGTAATATATTCTGCTTTCAGATTTTGATTTGTTGAGATGTAAAAGTTCTTTGTGGCTTACCAAATCTCAAGACTCTCTTTAGCTCCTGTGGGATTGTATTGCTTTTCTTACTGGATATTCTTCTTGGGTAAGTATCTTTGTGGCTTCACCTCTTCCCCCTCCGGTTTTTAGTATATTTAGTCTAGACCTCTCTGCTGAGCTTGCAACCTCTTTATTCACATGGCCTGCCATGCCACTTGGAGGTTTCTGATTACTCGAAAACCTGCTGTTTCTTTATGTCTTTCTCAGTGAATAATTCTATCTATTCATGCTGGAAACTTAGGTGATATGCTCATCTCCTTTTGCCTGTTTATGGAGGTCACCAGCCTCTATCATTTGTATGATTTCGTTTACACTGTTTATATATCTTTACTCTGTTCCCTTTTTTCTACCATTGGCATGGTTTAGACCTGTACTCTTTATCACCAGAGGTACTGTAATATAGTTGTGATCTCTCAGCTTCCAGGCTTACTCCTGGTCTCTGCCTTGCTGCCTACATATCCTTTTAAAATAAAATTTTAACTATCTCCCGAAAAATTGTTCAGTAGGTCACCCACAATCAGGAGAAAAATTTATATCGTGACATACAAGTCTCTGTCTAATCTGAACACTGCACCTGTCTCTGGCCTTTTTTTCTTGCCATTTCCTAGACCTTAAAAAATGTGTATTGAGAAAGAGAACTCTGGTAGCTATACAGAGGATGAACTGGAGCAATATAGAGGAGTAGCATGGAGACTAGTCTGACTGAACTAAGGCAGTGGAAGTGTGGATGAGGAAGACAAGTGAAAATTGAGAAGCGCTATCCTTTCTCTTTGGGCATTATTAGGAGGCTCACAGACAAGTCCAGGAGCCTGGTTATGCCCTCCTGTGCCATTCAAACAGATGGCTTTCCCATGACTGTGATGAATAAGATTGAGAAGCCCCTGCCCTTTTCAGAGCAGAGGGTGAGGAGAAAGCTACCATTTTGGCCTCATCCTTACTCCCCTTGACTTGGCGAGAGATTTGCCCTTTCAGGTTTTGATCCTGTCATTTTCTAGGATGTGGTGCACGCACTTTGCTGTTGTGCATGGTGAAGTATTGTGCCTAGGTGCTGGGTCTTCATCTGACTCTGCTGCTGTTTCCTCTTCCCAGGAAGTGTGATTAGACAAATAATGTGTTTTAACTACCTGTCACACTCAGAATTAATACTCAGGTTAACTGTAGAGAGGCATTGGCTGCAGAACACTCCTCGTGACAATTTTAACCATTTTCTTTGTCTAGAGTCTGCCTTTTTCTTTTTTACAATTTCTCTCGTTTCAACACTAGGTTTCAATATGGTGTTCCTGCTACCTCCCACCTCCCTCCTCCCTCATCACACATGCAAATTGTCAGCTTATTTAGACAACCCACTTAGATTCATATATGGACAAGGACAAGGTATTTTGCATTTGTTACTGGAATTCAGTTTTCCTATTTACTACCAGAAATGGTCAACAACTTACTTTGTGTTTAGCAAATCAAATTGTGTGGTAGATAGTTTTCCAGTATGATGGCCAGTCAGTCTTCCAATCCCTGTGCCTACATGCTGCTCTTCCCATCCACAAGTGGAGTCTATTTCTCTTGAGTTTTGGCTGGCCTTATGAATGGCTTTGCTTACTGAAATGCAGCAGAAGAAATTCAGTATATGTCCAAGCCTAGGCTTTAAGAGACTGGCAGCTTTCCTTTTATCCTTTTTGAAAGCCAGCCACCATGCTGCAAAGAAGCTCAGCTGGATTACTGAAAGATGAGAGGCCATGTGGAGAGAGACTCTTGAGGATGAGAGATTATCTTGGATGTTCCAGCCTTAGTTAAGCTCTCAGCTGAATGTGGGTGTATCCTCAGCTACACCACAGAAAATAGAGGAACTACTCAGTCGATCCCAATCAACCCACAGACTCACTAGAAATAACAAATTATTGTTTTAAGCCACAAGGTTTTGGGGGAGGGTTGTTAAATAGTAATAGATAAGTGAGACAGATTGCTTGTTACTTATGGTCAAATGGTGATTATCTCTGGTGAGATTACAGGTAATTTTTTAAAAAGTTATACCTATCTGTAGTTTCCTTTTTTTACTAAAATTCAGTTGAATTATTAGTGTATTAACAGAATAAAGAATGAACTTTAAAACACACACGCTGGTTATATGCTTCCTCTAATTAAAATCCTCTGTGGCTCTCACCGCACCTTAGCATCAAGTTCAAACTTTGTACTGTGGCTTACAAGACCCAACTTGATTTGTTCCCAGCTCCCTTTTCAGCTTTGTCTCGTGGCATCCCCATCCACGTATTTCCCAGACCCACTGCATCCTGAGATGAGTCAGAGACCCTTCTTAGGGGCCTGTTCCCTACTCCCAAACATGGACATTTAAAAAAACCAAAATCTTGAGTTCTTTCAAGAGAAATTCCAGGCATCTGGCTAGCCCTGAGGAGTGAAAGAGAAATGTGATAAGCAAGACATAGCGGCTCAAAACAATAGCCAAGTAAGTTAGAATCATGGGACGTTTGGTTCCCCTATAGAAACTATAGATAACATCTTAATATATATCCCTGAGTTGTTTTCCAGAAACCTGAACCTCTACCAAATGGATGCACTGGTACATAGACCTCAGATAAGGGGGAGCTGAGGACTGAACTCTGACCACTGTTGTTCTAAATTTCTTCCTGAGAGGCCTGGAGGAAGTCATGCCCATGAGCCAGAGATTATATATTTTTTTCTGTAGATTTCAAATGTTTAGACAAAACATCATCTGCTTAACCAATCATACACTAGAAAATCTTTGAATCCACCCCCACTTCGAGATGCCTTGCCTCGTTAGGTCAAACCAATGTATAGTCTCCATATATTGATTTCTGACTTCGCCTGTAACCTCTGCCTTTCTGCCTTTAAAAAACCTTACCTGTACACCATCTGGGAAATTGGGATTTAAGTTTTAGCTGCCTGATCCTCCTTCTTTGGTGCCCTGCAAATAAATGTTTTCCTTTCTCCTGCTGCAAACCTCGGTGTGGCTATCTGGTCTTACCGGGCCGGGTGGGTGGACCGCAGTTTGTTTGATAACACTCCACTCACCATGCTTTTGCTCACTTCAGTGCCTTGATGCACACCATTTCCTCTGGCTAGAATACCTTGTCACCCTCATCTGGCAAACCTACTTATTACCTTAGGACTCCCTTCATTGACTTACTCATTCACCCATCAGATATTTGAATGCTTTGTGTGTCAGGCACCACACTTCTGTTGCTATGAAATGCCAAATACAACAAACCCTATCCCTTCCCTCAAGGAACTTACAGTGTAGTAGCAGAACCCAAAAATTCATGGCAAATAATAAAATGTTCAGGCTGGATGCGATGGCTCACACCTATAATCCTAGCACTCTGGGAGGCCAAAGCGGGTGGATCACCTGAGGTCAGGAATTTGAGACCAGACTGGCCAACATGGCGAAACCCTGTCTCTGCTAAAAATACACAAATTAGCTGGGCATGATGGCGGATGCCTGAGGCTGAGACAGGAGAATTGCTTGAACCCAGGAGGCGGAGGTTGTAGTGAGCTGAGATTGCACCACTGCACTCCAGCCTGGGTGACAGAGTGAGACTCCATCTCAACACCACCACCGCCAAATAAATAAATAAAATGTTAAAAGGTTGTGACAATTTTTTTCTTCTAAGAAATCTTTCTGGAACTCCCTGACTGGCCTCTCCTTGTAGGTGTTACATGTGTCCATAAAACCCTACATTTTTTCTTACCCTAGAAATTAATATCTTGCTTGTGTGTCCCACTTATCCACTAACCTTACCTGTTTGCTCTGGAACGGCAGGGCCTTTTGTCTCTTTCATTCTTTGTTGACTGCCAAGCACCCAGCACATTATCTGGCCCATACTCCTCATGCTGCTGTTGCTATTACTGGCAACAAGTAACTTTGCTGGCCACTTAATATGTTTCAGGCACCTTACATGAATGATTTTCTCCTCATCACACTCCTATTAGAGAGTTTTTACATATGAAGAAACTAAGGATTAGAGAAGACAAGTACCTTGACACAGGTCTAGCAAGTAGCAGGGCCATAATTCAAACCAAATTTCTCTGCCAAACACTATCCTGTTAACCACAATTCTAAGCTATTACCCAAAAGTTGATTATATTACCAAAGAGTTGTTGATTGAATTAAATAATACAAATTCTTATAAAGAAAATTCTACTCATAATACCAGTAAAATAAATCACAGTATTGTTTTGTTCAATGTTTCAGTGCTCTCACCCATAGAAAGGAAAAGTGACTAAGATTT